ATCCCACAGTTCAACCCCCAAGGTTAAACATAAAGATGAAAGCCAGAAGACCATACATTATCTGTTTTTTCTATTTAACCTCTTTTAGGACTTTGCTGACCAATATCAGCATCACAAAGTTAATCTTTTTGTTTTGTTTTGTTTTGTTTTTTTAAACTGTGCTTTATTTTTCATTATTCACTCCTAAACTACTAGGATATTTGAGACCCTCAATCTAATTCTCCTGGTACCCAAATCCAATGCTGTACGAGAACTCCCAGACTCATCACTAGAATAATGAACTCAATTCCCTGCTCTTTCAGTACATGCAATGAACTATAGAGTAAGATAAATTTAAAAAAAAAAAAAACAAACAAACAAAAAAACAAACAAACAAAAAAAAAAAACACAAACCAACAAACAACAAACACGCAACAAGGAAATCAAATGAAATGCTATATTTCACCCTAGAACAACATCCAGCAACATTCTCCTTGTACACAAATAACACATAGAAGTTGTTCAAACCCACTTTTGCCAGGACTGGAATGAAGCCCACATCTTTACTGCAGCAGTCATCCACACAGCAACCCTAGTGCTCAAAATAAACTTAGATATATGTACTTAGCCCTCCTTGCCCTGTAGTGCTACGAGAACATAGCCCTTGTTGGTCACAAGAACAAAATTTGGGATTTATGGGTAATACTTCATTTCTGTCTAATACAGGCAGGCAGTAGGGAGGGCAGACAAGGTTTTTTGGTTCTATGGTTTTGTTTTCCTTTCTTCTCAAAACAGTAGCACAGATGAGCTTTTGTCTTATTTTTTGGCTACTTACTATAGAAAAAGCCCTTAAATTAAGAGCTGTGCTGGATGGCCAACAGTCCAGAATAGAAATCACAGAGATAACTCTGATTGCTACCGTCCTCAGTACAGTACACATAATTTCATTTTCCCATCTTGTATTTTGCATTGGAAAACCCCCACCAACTCACACCTAAAGAAGCTGTAAAGTAATAGTTTAAATCTGTTTTCATCTCACAAAGCACAATGAGCAGTAAGATGCAGGTACTAAATATTTAAGTCACTGGTCACATATGTCACTATCTCTAAATAGAAGCATCACACACTTTTAAACTTTTGTAGAGGTTTGTGTGACTTGGGGATTTCTCCAAAAAGAGCCCTTGTTTGGCTTTAGCATGAGAAGAGCAAGGGGCACACTGACATCAGTTCCAGAGAGGATCACATGTTTCTCCCCTCAGCTAAGATCAAATGCAATCGAGTCATAAAACCTGCGTATTGGGTTACCTGTAGTGTCACTTTTCATGGCAAGAAATTTATCCTAATAGGCCTAAGGGCAGGAAAAATTGAAATGATTGTTCAAAATCAGAACAATAGTCACATCTGCAACATTTAAATCATTCTTGACAGTGTGCCGCTATTCCCACCAGAGAATTATATTCTTAACAAATAGCTGAGATTAAATATTCCATTTTCCTGATCTTTTAAACTGAAGGTACATCATAAAAATTTTGGTTACAAACAGAAATTGCACAGTTTGAAACAGCAATAGGCCTCCAAGTCTTAAAAACCAAACAAACCTTGATTTACAAAATGCAATGCTGCAATCATTTACTTAAATAAAACCGTTGAAAAGTACATCAAATTCAAACTAGCCATACTAATCTAATCAGCAAGAGCAGGAAATGTTGATGATCCTCATTAACTAGTAAGAAAAATACTAAATGTATTTGTCAGTTATCCCAGAAGATAATACAGATTTCCTTACTGCCAAGTCTCAAAAGCTCAGGATGGTACCAAGGAGTAATAATGGGTTTAATATATACATACATAATCACACACAAAGCATAGCAAGAGCCATGTCTATTACAAACTGTATCAGGTTTGACATACACGTGTGTGGTATGATTCATGAAACAAGCAGCTACAGTTTCTCAAGCTTTCTTAGGGAAGGGGAGGGAGAAGGAACACCTTCCCCTCCATTTTTGCTGTTAATTGGAACCTCAAGAGAGTTTACCTTCCAAACAATACATTTGATCAGTTCCAGCTCACAAAGGTGGTAAGCATTTCTGAGCCATAGTTTAAGCAGCTAGGGACGCACTCAATTTGCTCTTTCTTCACCAAAGATTACAACTGGAGAGTGGAATACAATACATACTTTCTAAATCTAGACTGGGCCTGTGACTCAAGAAGGCTGGTGTGGCACCAAAAGAGAACACCCTCCTTCCTGACAAAGCCCATTTGCGAGCAGTACGTCGTCTTACAGCCGCACACAGAAACTCACGCTATGAAAGGCCACCCATCTCAGACACTTCTTAAATACAACACTACAGTAGGAGACATCATCTGGTTTAGGAATAATGCTCTAATACAGCCCAAACTGGGTGAAATCTTTGGATATTACTGCAATACGAAGCAGTTACCCCAGCCTAGCTTCGGGAAGCCAAATACACAGACTCAACTCACAGCTCTAAAAGCCCACTGTGATTATTGTTAAAGACAACACAACTCTAAAGTAAAAAAGTAAACAAAGCTGGATGATAACAGAAGGAAAAACAAGACCTACATTTCATCAAGACACTAACAGCTTTCCCAGATGAATATCATTGCCACAACACAGACCTACAACAGCTCTGTCTTCAGTTCACTTCTGGGCAAAATTAATTTGCAGAACTCTGCTAGGTCTCCAGTTACGGAGTCCAGCCCATGCTCAGGGGAAGGGAGGAAGGAAGGAATCTCAGCTATTAGAGCACAAACTGCAAAATAATTAGTTGCTCTTGAAAGGGGGAAATGACTCTGCAGAGGCATTGGAGGGAATGACACTGGAATTCAAACGACTGTACTGAAGCACTTGGATAGCAAAGTGGAAAAAAAACCAACATACACAATGGTCTAATGCAATCCACAACGGTCAAAACCGTTTATCACAATCCTTCTCTTTGTTAGGAAATATACGTAACCATTTCACTTTATTCACTTCTTCCCTCTTCCTGTCCACACCAATTTATAACACAGAACTAAGGGGACAACTCTGAATCCAGGCTATGTAGGGACATATTATCTCCACTGAAGTACATACAGCAAAGCAAAAAACCTAAGGAAGATAAGAAAACACAGGCACAAAGATAATCCACTATACAGTTTACTTAATTTCTACCAAACAACAGGAGAATTTATATGCTTGTTTAGTCCCAACAAATAGTGTTTTAAGGGATACATGTGAATGCAATATTAAATACTGTAGTAGGACAAGGAGTGCCATGGTAGGAAGGAGTGGTTATGTGTGATAATCATCTGCCAATGACAAAGAAGGTGGCTGTGAGAAAATAGCATATTCTTTCTGGATGGATACTAAAATGCACCTTGGGTGTTACTAATCCTAAGACACATACAGGTTCTGTTGAAGGGAGTTGTATCCACAGAAAGGACTTAAAAAAAAAAAAAAAAAATGTAAAAACCTCCAAATTTTGAAGATTCTGCCTATAGTACTTTTCTTCACTATAGCTACCTGGCAGCCTGAAGTAATCTTCTTCAAAAGCATCAACCAATCACTTGCTTTCCTATTTAAGCACATCTGCTGACTTCACATTTATGGGCAACTGTTGGACAAAACTTGAGATAGAACAAAAAACAAAGACAAACACCTAGCACATACATACTGAAATCTAGTAGAGGCTTTTGTAGCAGATAAAAAAAATCAGCAAGACACTAACCTAGCTTTGTTCACAGGCACTATAGCTATGAATGCTAAACCTGACTTACACATGGAAGAATACAAATGAAACAATACAGACTAATCAGCTTTTAAAGACAAAAAATGGCAACGTGACCAAAGAGTATACATGAAGTGTTTGGAAGGATACACAGCTAATGCTCTCATAACTAAACAGAAGACTAAGTCTTTTGATATTACATAATCCGTCATACAATCTCGCTAGAGAACATGCCAAACTACTGAAAAAGGAGAGGAATAAAGTTCAACCTTATCAAACAGAACTTTAGATTTGACAGCAAGTTTACTTACAGAGGGTCCTACTCAGGCTCTTCAAGACAAGGGATTCTTGTCCCTTATACTATTCAAGTATAAGGGAAGGACTCCCTTATACTTCAGCTGGCATTCATCTGATACAAATTCTGAAGAATGCTTTTAAATGTCAAAATACACATATCAAATTAAGCATATGGGGTTTTTTACACCTCTCAAGAAGAAAGTGTGAACAACTGTGGTGGTCTTACACTGGCCACTATGTAGCATCTAGATGTTAGCCTTTGCATTTTAGCATCCTCTTGTTCTGATCCATTTGGAGGAGAAACAGCTACATACATTCTTGTGCTGTTGATCCCTAAATAGTTTGTCAGTCTGACTTTATAATCAAAGCAATTCCTAACCAGTATAAAGAGTTTATACGATATTATTTTGCATAGTGTCAAACATGCATATTAGAATTCTGATAGAAAGTAAATACAGTAACTGCATGCTTCATTTTAGCACAATTTTTAGGTCTGCAGTGTCTTGGCTTGCAGAGCTTCAAATATAAATACACAGAAATGCAATTTCTCATTTTTACATACTAATAATCATTAGGCTTCCCTTTTTAAAAACAAATACTAAACTTACCTACTGAAGCCCCAGAATATTTTCTTGTAATTGTCTGATGTATACTACATGCTGTATTTAATTTTAGAAAAATCAAAGTCTACATAGCATCACACTTCACTAGTCTAACTCTCTAAAAAGTCTGATCCAACTGCATAAACAAACTTTTCAGTTACCCCAGCACTAACACTTGAAAGGAATTTAGAATTAGGTCTTTACTAGCAACACAAATTTACACTCTCCCAAGTATTCAGTGACTGTATAGGCTTTATTTTGTCTATCACATAAAAGCAGCAGAATGTACAGCTCATGAAGTGCAAAGTTTTGAAGTGATTAGTACAGCAGAACATTGTATCAAAACTAATAAAATTAAAATGTATTCAAAGCTAACGATGTTTGGTTTTACCTGAAAATTAACATCTTCTTTCTTAAATATCAGTGCTCGAACTTCATCAGGATCTCCATTAAATATAGCTTGAACCAATGGTGGCTGAAATGAAGAAAAAACAAAACCATCTCAAGATATAACCCCTTTTTGTTTCTATTGCTACATGTTTTGACACAACACAAACATAAGCTGATGACAAAAAAACATCCCAGGCAGTAAAATGAAGAAACCAGCAAGTCTTTATAATTGAAGAAATTCCAAGTTTATAAAAATCCCAAACACATGAATATAATCTATGTCAATGAAATATAAAGAAGACTAGCTCTTAACAGCTGAAAAGTAAACTCATAAAATTAGGGCTGTTGTTACGTGCTGCAAATTCTGTACCACATGAGCAAGCAAATCCCATTTACATGAACAAGTGACTAAAGTTACTGGAAGTTTTTCACCTGTTTAGATAGAGTGGGAACGCAAAGCGCATCAGATAAGTACGGCAACAAATTCACATTCACACACATCTATTACTAAATATAGCAGGATTTCTTAGTAAGAAAAGCTGCTGAGGTATGCTAGCAAAATTTGAGTCACTTGATAAAAAAGAAAAATTTAAAGCAATAAAAGCACATTCTCCAGTGTCAATCAATCATTCCCAAAAAGCGGTAACTTGAATCTAACAGTTACATCAAGATTATGACTTAGGCTATTTTTATTTTAGTTCAGAATTGCTCTTGCTTGATTCATACTATATACACTCTATCAGTTTTCAAAATAAGCACAGTATATTATTGCAATAGAACGATTACATTAGTTTCTAAAGCAGTACTGCAGAAATGTACCATTGAGGAATGAGGAGTGGAGCAGGGAAAAAAACATTTACTTCAAATAGAGTTTATCGAGCCCTATTAAAAATCCTCTGCTATTATTAGTTGAGACGAGTTATTTCTGCACCATAAGTAAAGTTACATGACAAAGAATGAGCCTTTGCAAATATTAACTCTACAACTAGATTTCTGCTTTTTCCCTTATTAGTATAGGCAGTTTTTGCCACCTTGTCTTCTTTCAACATCATGCATATTCAAGTTAATCTTAGGAAAATTATTATTGGTATTTGCAACAGTATTACAAGCAGGAAATATGCCAACAAACAACATGCCTTACCAGCACGTTTCCAGAGTGCGATGGATGTAAAGGTACATTTTCCTGAGGTAATTTAGAAATAAATGTGGGAGAATCATCTTCCACCTCCTCCAAAACAACAATACAGACTCGACTCATTCGATCAGTTTGAGGAAGCGAAAGCAAACAAAAAAAATAACAGCAATAGTATTTTTGGAACTGGACCACAGGTATGGCAACGGGGACCATAGAGGAAATACTTTCACCTCTTTCACATGCCCTCACTAACTTGTGAGTGCTACTGCTGGTGTATTAGTATTCAAAAGAGGACATTCCAATCCCCCCTTACACTTCATTTTTCAGATTTAAACACCCCGAGACGTTCAAGACAATGCTGAAAATAAGCTGTTATTTTAAAAATAAAATTCCCTTAGGCATCAAAAGTGCAATAACAAAACTGCGGAACGGCTGATAAAAATATCCCAAGGTCCAATTCCATTCGAACAGCGCTCACTGTCGCATACAGCTGTCCTTTCACAGGCAAATTTGTCTTTGTTAATGTCACAACTTCCACAGCGTCCTTCTACCCCCACAGTGAAATCATTGTTGCAGAAGACACGACACTGTCCTAATGGAGGACAGAACAAGGAACAATTGCCCCGAGAGAGACGGCCGCAGCTACACCCGCTCCTGCAAGGTCAGTTTTAAAACAGCCGTCGCAGGGTTTCTGGTGACTGGAAATAAACGCGCCTTCCGATCATCCTGTCATTCCACAGCTTCCTTTCTCAATGTCAAAAACAACCCGGCCAGAAAAACGCATCCGATTTCCAGCAGTTATCCAGGCAGAATATTCAGGACCTGCTTGGAGGAAAATAAGTCTTTCCCATGCAAGAAAAATATCTGCAACGTACAGCACGGCTGCAGTACATTTACATGCGATGAGTCAGACCACGGGCACAATGCACTCCTTGAATATTGCTGGTTGAATCCAGCCTCCCCCAACGACAGCCAGGCAGACAGCGCTACTCCGCCAGAGACACAGGCGATGCAGTGTGGGCTTCTCCTCCACCGGGCAGGAGCTGCCGCCTCTCCACCAGGGAACGAACGCGCTGGGCAGAAATACTGCTGAGGAAGAATGCTTCAGCAAAACCAGCTAGCTACCGCACACAAAAGCTCAAATTACTGCCTTAGACTACTTCTGCAAAAGCAGTTCATCACTCAAGTGTTTCTTTTGATCACCATGTGAATGCGGTTCCCATGATAGTCTTCATTCAGATTGAGGAGGAGAGCAAATCAATCTATCTCAAAAAAAAAAAAAAAAAAAAATCAGACTCCGTACATCTTCTCCGAGCCAACTTCTTTATCCGAACATATGTCACTGTGCCAACCCAATTCTCCTCTTCAGTTAGAGTTGCTGCTTATCAGTTTTCTGCGTTGACAAATTAAATAACACAATCAGCACACAGCCCCGCGAAGCTCCAGCGCAGCCCGGCTGCCCGG